TTTTAACACGATAATAACAATATTGACTGGAAAAAAGACATATATGTTGAAATTACAATGATTTTTCTAAAATGTATTTTTTTTACTAATATTCAATTAATTACAAAATATTACACAATAATCTGATACAATACTATCGTTTTGTTTCAAAGCATTTCTTCACCTGATAATTGTTTGATTGAAATGTCATTGCGTTAATTTATTTATTATTTGTTTTTAATTCTATTTTAATGATTAAATCTAGTAAACTTCCGTTGAATTACGAATATGTCTCTAGAATAAAAAATAGGTATATAAAAAAGCGAAATTAAAAAATACTATTTTCATTTTATATGCATAATTGTCTACATAAGTCTTTTTATAGGGTTATACACACATGTATACAGAAAGGTCATCTAAAAATAAAATAAGTAAGAATATTCGGAATGACATATTTATGGCAAAATATGCAAAAAGGAATTTACTATTTATGATGCAGACGGTATTAAATAAACGAAATAAATAGAAATTCTTTACACGCATTATTGTAAAAAAAAACTCCTCTTGTTAATTATTATAATAAAATATTATTATTTTGAATTATTTTAATTTTACTTACGTATCTGTGCGACCAGCTCATTGTTCAATTTCTTAATAATTTAATAAAAAATAAATAAATAAAAGGTAAAGTTGTTTTAAAAAGTACTAGGCATAAAAAAATAGACTGTAAAAAACGAATTTTAACATGTTATAACAGTAAAAAATATATTCGTAAACAATAAGATAACAAATAATATATATACTGATAAAGAGATATATATGTATATATATATTTGTATTTCATAATATATAAATGTAACGGTTTCTATCGTAGTTTCACTTGTTATTGACAATACTTATTATATCTCAAGGTAAAACTTTTCTGCAGTGCCGTTTATATTTAACCGGTTGAATGAATGGTCTCAACAGAATACAGATCGTAATGAAAGAATTGAATACTTTTAAACTACAAAAAACTAACGAAATTATCATTAAAAAATACCTATCAACACTTAAATTAAAAAACTTACTTATGTAAAAAATTTATATACACAAATTCTATATACCTATTTAAATAATATATTAAAATAAACCTGCATTAGTTTTATTCAATACTATTGCGTATCAATATTGTACTTTTTGTTAATAATCACGTTACATTTGTATAAACAAACAAAAAAATCCATAACAGCGAGGGTACATGTCTATTAAAACTATTGGCAGCGACACTGAGTTAATTTGCTTACCTTATTAATGTCGGCTATTTATACAAATAAAACCTACCGCGAGCTCAGCGTGTCGTGATACTTACGGTCGTACTGACGTACGCGTGCGATATATTATATACAAGTTTTTATAAATATTTGGACATTATTTAATCAGCACATTATTGTTACATATATTGGACAATGTTTGCTTGATTTTGTTGCGAATTTTATCATATAAGTAAGTATATTATTATTATTTTTTTTATATATGATCGACATGTGATGATATATAATTTTTATTTGATAATTTTATCAAACAATCCTAATATATTTTAATACTTGACTAATTATAGAAAATATAATTATGATTAGTCTTATAAGTAAATTAACATTTAAATATACTGGTGAGTCTGATAAACATATGTATGAGTATTTTGTATTTATATGTAAAATTCGATTATCATAATTTAAAATGCTATGTTTAACTTCGGATATATTCATGGACATATAATTTTTTTTATGTCATTTAAGAACACTGATACTGAACTTTGCCATCTTTATCTTGAACAATTTGTTGCTAATATTAAATAAGAAACGAATATTTACTCAAGATAATATAATATATAATTTTTGCTTCGATGGTTGAAAGAATATTATGAGTATTTTAAAAATATGTTTCATAATCGTACATATATTAGATAATTTTATAGTATTTGAATTGAATTGTGCATGAACTTTAAACGAAAGCAATCCGACTGTATGTCCAACATGCGGGTGTATCGATTGCATGCGCTCGGTTGAATGACCTTTCAATGTTGTTATTGCAGTTAATGTACACATGTATTTTATACACGTGCTTTAAATAAAAACAAGGAACAAGGAAAGATTTTATTCAATACATACACATCACTATGTCCCATAAATTTAAACAACAATTGAATCTACATATAATACTTTATTTTTTAATCGCTTCGCCGTGTCTTTAAATCGTTGTATGAATTCTGTCCAAGAATAACTTAATTTATTACTTTTGACCATGAATTTTGTATTTGTTGCAAAACCTTTGAATTAAGAAATATATAAATTGGTATGTCTGTTTTGTGGCTTGTTTTTCAATAGCTATAATCATGTTCTAGAAATCTCAAGGTTTCAAGTTATTGACTGGTTGATTTAATTAATATTAATTAAATTTTTATTTAAAGACAATTTCGATGTCACATTTTTATATACACGGTCTAATAAGTTATAATTGTGTTTCCTTCTTCATGTAAAGATTTTTAAATGAAAATTGGCTTAATGTGTGTAAAAACAAATCGCCGATGAAGTAATCCAATTGGATGTCAATCTGACATACATGTGTTATATTACTCTTGTATAGGTTTTATATCATTAAGTTTAGTTTTATTTTACATAAAACTACTTCATATATATAATAACTAGTACATTACCTTCACCTTTTTGAAGAAGTATTTAAAACATACACATACACTTACACCCACACATACATGTAGTTTAATCAAATCAAATGTCAATAACAGCTGATAACTGTCACCGTGTGGCATTCGAAGTCGCTATAATACTTAGATAACGCAAATCATTACATACATTGTAATTTTTTTATTATTAATAAAATAAATTAAAAAGTCGTCTGTAATAATATGAGAAAGAAAAATATAAATAGTCGTGGAATAAAATCCTACTTATGCAAATATCTAAAATAATAGACATTTTATTAGTCTTTCTTGAATGTATGCATATTAATATATACATACTTGTACGTTATGTCCCTATACTTATAAACGCAATAAATTTAGCATTGAACAATTGATCTTATGTATTTATGATAAGGTACAAAATTACATTGCATGTTTATATGAATGCAAATAGAAAAGAAAAATTGTTTGAAAATTTAATCGAAAAATGAATGACGATCTTGATCATATTATACTTGAATCTAGTTTTTCAAGCTCATGTAGACCTGTTCTACTGGATTGAAAAGACGAGAATAAAATATCGTAAGAAAAACAAGCTTCCATACAAACTAGCTTTCTACGCCATCCATCATAGAAACAGCTTGGCTTCTTATAACAGGTGCATTTAATAGTAAATTGAATCTTTTGAAATTGTATGTTACAATATTTATTTTGCACTGACATATTTTCTTGTTTTTGTTTGTTAAGTACAAAATACGTCGTTATAGAAGAAAAAGTTGATTTGAAAACATTTATACAATTTGTTCAACTTATATTATAGGCCTTGTAGGATTTTTTTATAAAACAATTACTTCGTAACAATCTGATAACTGGTTTATAAACAGATCATGTTCGTCTATATTTATAAATTGATTATAGGTGGCTGATATAAATCTATATTAATTAACAACTTCTCGTCAAATAAACATCACTCATCCATTTATATGTGTTATTCGGATTATAATTTTTGATCATTAATTTTCATTTTATTTTGTCAACTTATGTTTAGAAAATGTTCTTCTAATAAAAGCTCCTGAACAGCTAAATAAATTCAAATTAAAAAAAATATTTATTGAAATTAAAGATATGTAACGAAATGCTTCATGAGTAACATATTAATCTATCCTGTTTATATTAAATATTGCCTTACTGTAAAATGATTAAGATTAGAATTGTTTTATTTTAAATCCAAAAAATTGTTTTATTGTATTAAAGTAATGTGTGGAAGTCATGATTTTTCATATGATTTAATTTCTTGTTAAGGATATTTCTAGAATTGCTATATAATGAATTTTTATAAAAAAATATATAACAGGTTTATTTTAACATCTTCTGAAATAGAAACATCATAAATACTTGTTAAATCTTAGAGATTCATTCATATTTTGCAAAAGTTGAGATCAAAAAGAGCCAGTATTCTTCGGATTACTTTTAAACTCACTTTAAGTTATTAAGCAGTGCTGCTGGCTCTTGTCTTAACTTTTTCCTGTTGAGTTCTTAAACTTTCTCAATCCAAGTGTAATAAAACTGGAATATTTGAAGGATTCATTTCAATTTGTTACATAAATCTCTTTATCCTGAAGTCAGATAACAAAATTAATTATTTATGATAAACAAGATACGAATTGAATTTTGTTTTCTTCAGTCTTTTGTTTACCATTTAAATATTTATTCATGTAAAAATTCTAAATTTATTATAAGAATTTTTTATAATCTTTCAGTTTTCTGATAATTTTATCTTGTACTTAAAATAAGTGTTTTAAGTAAGTTAAATAATTAGATAGATTGTTTTTTAGGAATCTATGTAAAAGATTATGAGTCATACTCACTCCGTCCGATTTGAGGGTCTAATGAATTTGTCTTTTAGTAGCTATATATTTAAATAAATAATAATTTTTAAATTACTAAACCTCTACGTGTTAATAAATAAAGGTGTAAAATGAAAATTAAGAAAAATAACTATGTTTTACTAAAGAAATTCTGTTTTAATGAGATCAAAGACTTTCGCGAGTAGTCATTTAAATGAAACTAACATTATTCGGATTAATACGAGTATTTTATTATTTTTAAAAACTACATACTCCTGACGTTTCGGTTACTTTGCGGCAACTGTGATCACGATTTTTAAAAATGTAGTTTTTGAAAATAATAAAAAAAGCGTAGTAATCGGAAAAATATTTGTTTCATTTAAATTGTTTTACTTTCTGATTATAAAATAGTATAAACTTGTGAAATCGTCATCTTATTTAAAATAAGCATTATAAGATTAATAACACGCGTATATATTGTTTCAGGATTCAATATGGCAGAGATTAGTTTTGCGAATGCGACATCTGATTACGGCTTTTCAGACGTGGTCACCAATCACTTGAAAGGTATTGGCCGACTGTTCTACATCCACTCACCCCAAGAAACTCTATACGAGAAGACAGAAGATGTGCCTAACTTTTTTAGACAGGTAAGATATGAAGTATGAATACTATATGAATGTTGTATTAGTTATTATATAATTGTAACTATTATTCAGGGTATAAAATTAATTCTTGTTCAATTTCCCTACATTAGTTTGATTTGATTTTAGATTGACTTTACATTGCATTGGTTTATCAAAAAATTTTGTCAACAATTGAATAAAATTACTTGCACGGTTTCTGTAATAAATTTTCTATATTATCTTATAATTTGTGACGGTATTATAAGTAAATGATAGAAATTTTGAAATATATATATATTTATTTTTAATGTTAAAGTGCAATCAAATCAAGGCTTATCTTATTGAAAAGGTGTCTTTGGTCTATAGAAGTTGTATAAATATAGTTTTAAAGATTTTTTAATCATTTTATTACATAGTTAGCGAGTCTTTTATTATAATTGAAAAAGTATAGGAGTTATATAAAATGTATGGATGTGTTATATAAAAACTTGTGAAGGGATTTTATTAAACTTTCGAAAATATAGCTTAGAAATCAGAATAAACGTACTATAACAATTTTTATTTATTCAAAAAAGTTATATATCTTCTTAGGTAGAAACATTAAATTGTAATATATATGAATTCAGTGCCACATTTAGTCAGTATAAATGTAATATATTAAGGTCTACAAAACTTACTTCTCTTTAAATTCGATTCCGAAACTGACACCGACGAAGTAGCGGGCATAAACTAACAAATTTTATAATGTAAAACTAATATTGACATTAGTAAATATGTTCCTTCAACAATATCAAAACATTTATTCATATAATGATAGCAATTTATTCATAGATAAGTATGTTATCACACAATATTTACAATAGTTAGTCTCATTTATAACATTTAGTGTAATTAGAACAAAACAAGTTTAATAAATTCATTGCGCAATTTTAATTTATTATATTTTTAAATCATTCATATTTCTCAACATGTGAATGAGCTTCAAATGTCTTTAGTGCTCTGGTTATAAATATTCATGTATCAAATTACTTATATGGTTAAATGTTTTATTTAATTTATAAATGTTAACATTGTTGTAATATAATATGATTACGTTGTTCAACTGATAATATAATATATTATATAAGATGCGGATAATGTAAACATTATGTGGAATACTCTGATAAATTAAGAGTTAATAACCTTATAATATTCCATGTTGATAGAAAAATTTTACAACACGAGGCTCATATTTAAATCATGTGAATATAAGTACTAAATCTATATATATAAAAGAAAGTCGTGTTAGTGACTTCACTTATAACTCAAGAACGGCTGAACCGATTTCGCTGAAAATTGGCGGGAAGGTAGTTTAGAGCCAGGAAATTGCAATAGGATACTTTTTATCCCGTTCAACAGCATTCCCGTGGGACTTGACATGAAACGTCAGTCACTATAAAACGTGGAATAACGAAACACAATTGACAGCTATGCAATTGACGTATAATGACAGATATGTAATTTAGTATTTGCGGGATAAATTTAGAAAATCATTGTTTTTCACATGGGCAGTTATAGTTTGTGTGTGTTGGGAAACCATCCACTTTATTTGTGATAACGTTAGACCAAAAGCAAAAAAATGTGGTTTACAAAGGAGCAGTTCAATGAAACGGATAATTATACTTTGGATACTTTGGATTCATTTTCATTTACTTAGAGAAGTTCAACTAAATAATACTTCATTTTTGTAATCGAAATGAATTCATTACTGTTGTGAAATGAAATAAAAATTTTCCTTTTCAAATATAAAACAAAAAAAAATTCTTCATCTTTTTATCACCGAACGAAATGTTATATAATAGCCTTCTGGTGGCGAAACGGAGTTCGCCAGGTTTACTAGTTAATTATAAATATACAAAGAGCACAACTTCATACTATGAGTTAAAATGTATTTCTTATTTAGTCTTTCAAAAATAAATCGTAAATTTATAATGTACAAAAAAGTATAAGTATGTACATCATGAAAAATTATTACGAGTACATATTGTTTAATTTTTTACAAATATTATTTGTGTATTTTCTCATAAAATATCCTTTGAGTAGCAAAGTGCATAGTCTTATTGTATTTCATTTCGGAAAAAGATCACAAAATGTATAAGGTAGCTTTAAAAAAGTATAAAAATATTTTCTTAATATTTAAAGTGTATTCTTAGGATTAATATTAACGTCATTAAGGTCGTCTTACAAGAAGCTTCCTACAATCTTGTTACTTAATGATCGTTACATTTACGATATCAAGTTACAACACAGGGTTGCCATGAAAAAAATATTTAAATACTTACAATATACCTGTAAAAGTTAAATTTACAACGAATAAATAAATAAAATGTATTGTCTTTATAAAGAAACAAAGCATAGACACTATCATAATTCTCATTTATTTTTGTCATAAAATATTTTTCGTGATTTGAAAGTTGAAGATGGTTTATATAACACAAAAACAAAGTTAATTATAAAAATTAGGAAGTCTATAATTGGTTCATAAATTGTACCACAAGTATGATAGTAGGCAGAGAACGTTATTGAATAATAAATAAATTACATTATTATGAAGAAAACAAAAAGATTCACTTGTCGGAAATATATTATTAATAAATAATAAAAACAATGTCTATTTTTGTAAAGAATGTGTTACTTCCTTTATTGGAGATAAAAGCAATAGTCACCTTCGATAAAATAATATTGTAAATTATGTAAACAATTTATTAACTATCTCTTTCTTTAAGGACAGACGTTATTGACATGTTGATTAATACAGTTTTTGTATCATTTAGTCACTGTTAAATAAATTATTTAGATATAGAGATATATGTTATTTAGTACTAAAGATGGACGAGACAAAACATTTTAAAGAAATAGCTGGGTCGGTTTAGATACAAAAATACTTTACTATATTATATATATCTCACAAGGTTTCTAACTTTATTTAAAGTTATTATTACTGTGTAACACTACCGACTAGAACCTATAAAATTGGAAGCTTTTGCACCAAAGAGTAGACTAGACTTATATTAGATCAATTGTAAGTTTTAAGTGACGTTTAATATATTATTAATTTAGGTAATTTTACAAACAAAATTGTTGGGCAGCTTTTCGATTATAAAGATAGAAAAAATTTAAGAATTTTATTTTAATGTTTCTAATTCATTTAAAGAGAATTTTATTCCGAAAATATTTGAAGGAATTTCTACTTCATATTATTTTCATACACACCCCTATATTGAATAGACCGCGGTGTCAGTGTGACAGTTTCACCACATTAGGAACCGGATACTTTGTGTAAATTAATATTGTTTTAAATCATTCCTCTTTCAACCTCAAATCTATTTTGTGCTACAAAATTGGTCTATTAATAAAGGATTATTAAAAAACAGCTCATGTATCAATGAACTGATTTTAGATCTAGAATATTATGTCATAATTTATGAGATTTTACCGTCACACATTTAATTTCATATTCCTAAAAACAAATTTATTTTTATCTATTTGACATTTATCCCATATTATATTTATCTCCAGCGTTGATTGTTATGTCTTTAATATTTTTATAGCGTCTTTTACATAATTTATTAAAATTTAGATAAAATTTTTAAATATTAATTTACATATTTTTTTATAAATAATTTTATACCTTTGTAATATTAATTATATATTTAAGATTTAATCTTAAGATAATGTTATTTTTAGCCATCAAATAAAAGTAATAGAATAAGGAATGTTTTAATTAAAAATGTATTTTCTTTTTGTTTCAGTCATATCCGTATTTTTTATTGTTCATGATTATTGAACACATAGTTTTAAGATTAGAAGGCAAGAAGGGCATCAGACTAAACGATGGAATAACAAGTATATCCCATGGAATATTCCTTGAATGTGGCAGGTAAGACATGTAATCAACTACAAAACAATAAACCAACCAAAATAAGTTCATTAACTATAGCAACTTGTGAAAATTTATACCTTTAAAGAAAAAAGAACAGATGATCTTGAAATAAAGTCAAAAACACCCCATGTGACGAAATGAGCTCAAAAACCATTTTAGATAAAAATTACACCATGAACGGTTAAAATGCACTAAACCTTCTTATCCAGAGCTTAAAGAAAAGAATACCTAAAAATTTTATTTCGTAAATATTTTCATTAATTTCAGTCATTATTGTTCATGAATATCGAATTTAAATTTGAATATGAATTTCATTAGGGCTCTTTATTAAAAAATTCTAAGTACGTGAGTTAATAACTAGTAAAGAGGACCAAGTGATAAGAGAAAGTCTTCTTATTAATTTCAATAAACTACAGCCATCAATATATATATTTTAAAATAATAATCATTTTAAACTCAATATAATTACGAATCGAAATGAGCAAATTGACAGCAAGTTTTTAATATTTTTAGACTGTTATGGCGCGGAGGGGAATCGTATTTGTACACCTGGATTTACACCAACTACAGACTTGTAGACCTGCCTTGGGACAATACGATGACTTGGTATGCTGCGGCGTTAGGAGTCGACTTCTGTTACTATTGGATGCATAGAGCTTGTCATGGTATGATTCATGGCAATACACATATAATTGTTTTATGGTTTTCTTCGATTTATTGTTAAACGAAATTTATATATTCAGAGATTCATATACTGTGGGCCCAACACCAAGTGCATCACACTTCTGAAGACTTTAATATGGGGGTCGGCATCAGACAATCTGTAGTACAAGGCTGGTGTGGCTTCGTAAGTATAAATATGTTTTATTTGTGATGTGAAAACATAAATGAATAGCATGACATCTTAAAAAAATATGATATTGAAAAATCGTCTTACAAAAACAGGTTTGTAAATGTTACCTTTTGAATTTTACTTTTTTTATTTATGAAATAACACTTTGAAGATTTTAAAAGCGTACTTTACTGAGAAGTTGATAACAAAACGCGATACATTACAATAAGGTTATAAGGAATAACCAAGAACATCTTTTTTATAAATATAATATCATATAGCATTATAGTTTTATGGCATTGCATTGACACGATTCTGTAAAAGTTGATGCTATTTTTATATTTCTTCCTGGTCTATAAAAATTCTCGGTTAATATGTGGTGAGTATGATACCACATTGATGATGAGAGATATTATTATTTAAGATATTATAATAATTTGTATGCTCCATAAATAAAATAAAAAATAAAAACAATTTTTTTTTTTGATAAAGAGTGATGCCGGCCTTTACTAACTATTTATTACATTAAAACCTGTTTTCTCTCTAAAGAATATGCTTTATATTTACATGCACATATATAATGCAATAATATACAATTTAAGAAGAGTCTCCTTATCTCACATTAATTCTATTTTATTTTATTTCAATACTATGTATTCGTACGCTCTGAATTTTTACTTAAGGCCTGAAAAATTACTAATAAATTCTATTTCTTGTCAGATTTTCTACCTACCGCTCGCGATGGCAATACCGCCAGCGCAATTCATTATGCACCACCAGTTCAGCTACTTATACATGTTCTGGATACACACTGAGGCAATCAAGAGCCTGGGACCATTAGAATACATCCTTAATACTCCCAGCCATCACAGAGTACATCATGGTGCGTAAAATATTCCTTTTTTACTCTCACAAAGTACCTCATGATAGTTTTTAAATACAATTTAATAAACAGAAAGTAATTTTTTAACAAAAGTCTTTACTGTGCACCGCAATCGCATTTGCATTCATTTACTTTTTATCTGGTTCTCATCTGCCGTTCGTGGAAAGAGGGGCTTTGGTAGAAAAATAACGTCTAAATGTTATGAAATGTTAGCAATCAACTAAAAGTAATTATTTACATTGTAGAAACTCCCACACGAGTTGAAATAAAGTTATTTGATTGAATAAATATGGAACGTTATGAAAAACATTTCAAACGGGTAAATATTATAAATCAAAAAACGTTTATCTAATTTTATCCAAGTTAAATTCCTCATTTACATTTTAAAATGAGATATTTTCTTTTGCAGTCAACACTTTTTTGTGTATTCTATAGTTGAAATTATGTTGTATTTTATTTTTTGCGTTATACCAGCTGTGATGCACGAAGTCTTTACCTGAGTATAATTTATTGGTTATTTAAAGTTTAATTGTAGAAATGAAATGTTGTAATTCTTGACATTCAGTGTAATACTTCACGGATGACGTTATTGACGATAATAATATAATATTTGTTTGTCAAAAAAATAGTCGTGTGTATGTTTATTTTAAATGAATTAATCATTTCAAAAATAGCTTTGTACAATTCTTATCGATATAAACTTTGACTGAGTTAAAATCCAAGTCGATCCTTTCTCTCATTCTCTTAAAGAGAGATACAAATCTGGTATTATAATGATGATGATGATACTGTATATTTCGTTAGAAAATCCTGTCGATCTATCATTTTTAACTATTGCTGATGATTGATTTATATAATACAATATCATAATAGTATCTTAATCGTTAAAATATGATATTATAGAATCTTTTCTAGTGAATATGAAATGTTAAACAAATATATCTGTTTTCATTTTGTCATTTCAACTTAAATCTGTAGTCTACCAAAGCGGCAAAATGAGTGTTTCATATGGCTCGTTAAGATAATATTCAGAAAATTGTTAATAATTCTATGTAACTTAGAAATTCATATTTTTACTGCTTAACAATAAAATAAACATAAATTTTATTCCTATAAAAACAAGTTCTAAACCTCATTAACATGCAAAAAGTATTCGAATGTTTTTCTCTACTCGTTTTTGTATAAAATTCTTAACAAAATACAGCAATAAAATTCGGAGATGTTTCCTATTTGATATATTAATGTTTGAATATCGATCAAATTTCTTTTAGCTTACGACCATATTTCTTTCACAGGCAGCAACAAATATTGCTTAGACGTGAACTACGGCGGTGTGCTCATTATATGGGATCGACTATTCGGCACGTTCAGGCCTGAAACTGACAAAATAGAAATTGTATATGGCCTTATATACAACCAGCCGTCCTTCAACCCTCTTTACTTACAGGTATAATATTTTTTGTAATAGAATGTAAGGTTAAGACTACACTAGAACTCACAAGAATATTCATGATTATGCAATAAATATGTGAATGTTTAATATTCAAATTAAAATTTAAATTAGATTGCTTAGCAAGTTCATAAAATGTAAATGATTATATTTTAAATATCAGCCCATAAGAGCTTTAGAAGACAGCGGCAATCTGAAGTTGGCGTATTTATATAAAATAATTTATATATTGCTTTATAATTAATAAGCCAATTTTAATGTCGTTGCAATACAATTGAAGGGATACTATGAACTATAAATAGTATTACAAAACAATAACTTTATGTATGTGTGTTGTAATAGAATTAATTCACGAGAGTGAACATCACAAAGTTAGTAAACAAAGTTTTGTTGAAATACCTAAACCGCACTTCATTGTTTCATTGTTAGTGACCACAAAAGGAAAAACTTTTTGTCTAATAGTTCTTTAAATGTTCATAATTGAATAATAGTTAAATAATGAAGTAAAAACACGAGTTTATTTATTGTCTTGAAAAATGGCTATTGTTGGCAAGTTTTTACCATAGTACGAAGATATACAAGCTATGTTAGTTTTATTTCTTACTTTTATGACTTTATAATGAGGTTTATTATAAAAGTTACGTTCTATGGATTTTCTCTCCTTTCAATTTATTTCTTTAAATTATTCTAAGATTAAGATAAAACGAATAAATTGGTGATTGTTAATAAACAAATATATTGTTTTCAGGTATTTTACAATGGTTATGAATTAGAAAAAATCCGACGTCTTCAAACTTTGGAGCACAAAATCAAGGCCGTTGTTTGGGGACCAAGTTGGGAACCAGGGACAGCTAGACTAGGAGATGAAGATGAAAAGGTAGATGTAAGTATGAATACAGTGACACAGTTATAACTAACATATTTAAACATAAATATTTTCTACTACCATTTAGATCGTTACATTTAAGTCGTCAAGTAATTAGAGGAAATTTTAAAACTTGAATTCAAAATATTAATACTGATCTAATATTGTCTTAATGTACTTCCAGATTGAAAACCGGGACAAATATGACGTATTTCTACCATCGTGGTGCAACATTTACATTGTCTTGCACTACTCTCTCGTTCTCTACGGCTTCTTTGAACTCGCTTCTCGTTATATGGTGAGTTAGCTAACTTAATATGAATTCAGTCTAAGTACTGGAAGATTTATATTATTTTTATTTAATTTATCTCATAAATTGAATTGTTCGTACAATTATTAAACCAATTTTCTCTTCCATTGTATAGCTCGTAGCGTTTTTCAAAGCGAAATGAGTATCTCGATATACATAATTGTGTCAGTAAAAAATACCTTCCATTAAATTATTCCTTTAATAAAAAATTTCTCAACAAAAAATGACAACTGAAATCTTAATACCTTTCTTTTTTTGAACGCTTTAACGAAAAGAATTCCTCAGGATCCATTAAAGTTTTTTTATTATAATGTAATAAATTTATTAGGTTTTTGCCATTAATACACTCAATTAATATTTCTTAAGTACTTCATTATATTATATTGTCACAGTAACAATTTAAATAATATAAATGCTTATAATATTTATCTTTGCAAATATATCTTTTGTGAATGTGGAGCATAGTAAAACAGGAATAGTTTTATGGGATTGGTTAATTTGTTATAAAGTTTAACAGGTTACAATAAAAGTTTCGCTTTAAGAGTATGAATATAAAGTCCTCTTTACAATATTACCACTGTTATAAAAAAATGTTTGAGTGTATAGGTATTTGTAATATTTTTAAATGGTTAAATAAATTGAGGGTTTCCATGAAAAAAAGTAATTATAATAATTATAGATTGTTCTGATATCTATCCTGATCATTAAATTAACATATTAAACCATATTGTCTAGAGAATTATTCTGTATCCATTCACTTAGTTCTCTGTATATCAATCACGTCAACTTCTTTGTATAATCCGTTAAGATATGTACATATTATGTACAAATTATATTTCTTTGAATTTAACATTTCTTTTTGTTTTCAGGGCATGACACCGATATCGGTTGTAATTTTCGTGTTCTACGTCGTCGCATCGTTGACTATTATCGGTATGATATTCGACAACTCTAAATACGCTCCGTTCCTGGAAGTCCTTCGTTGTTCGATGCTCGCATTCCTCACGAGAAGTCTCGGCACCAGCCCGACTATGACCGGACTTCAAGTGTTCTACGTTATATCAGCCATGTTTTGGTGTTTACATACATTGAAACTATTAGAAATAAAGAAGAAAGTAGCCTAGTTTAATACAACCAAAGGATTTGCTTACAATTGTTTTGCATTTTTATATGGGTTACAAATAATTATAATGTTAATTTCATATTTCTACAAAGTGCTAAAATAGTTTTCATAAAATAGAATTGAGATGATGTTACAATGTATGTAAAGGGCCAATTCAAATCATTTTTTTTAAATTGAAATCTTGTTTTAATGTCTTATTAATTTTGAATGGAGAAACTGTATTCATAATTGTGCCTTCTTTAGTGCCAGTAATATAGCTATCTCATTTAGTAGTAATATCTTGTGCCAAATATTATTATATAATAAAATATTTGCTAAATGTTTTTGTATGCTTAAAAATGTTGTATTTTTTTTGTAGTGTAGATAGAATAGGAAAAATAATAAGAATAATAGTTAATGGTAACTTCATAAGATTTTTAAAAATTGCTAGTCTATAGTTGATTGTTGTTTTATAATGTTTTTTGTAATAAATATAAAAAATAAAAGCACTACTGTAAATAAAGAACACTTTTTATTGTTACAACACACACACACATATACGTTCGTGGCTAGATTGTCAACCCTAGCAGTATATAATAGATTTAGAGGCAGACCGAGTTTCAATTCTATAACTGTGAATTTATATACAATGTGTATATGTATAATATCCACTGTCCATAACGTTATATTCTGTACTAATCTAATATCCGCCCTTGTTATGACGAGGTATCGCATAATGTTCGATAATCGACACTAGTTAATTGTTTATTTTATGTTACATTTAGAGGCAATACATAATGAGGGATCTCTATAGATTGATAAATAATATGCGCGTGTTAAGATCATGATTGTATACTTAATGTTTATTTTAATAATATGAGGTATTTTTAATTCTTTATAATTTATATATATTTGTACACTTCTCCATATGAACCTTGACTGTTTTGAAAACCAGTTCATCAGTTAAAGCAATTATTTCAAAAAGGGATACAACATAATCGATTTATTTATTTAAAATATGATAATGCTTTATTTAAGTCGGCTTACTTCATAACGTCCGGAAAAATAGCAAAGTTCAACATTTGTCCATAATTTCCCGGAGTATTTCACAAAATTCATTATTATAAATGGTGACATTTGTGTCACTGGACACTGGCATTTGTCATCATAAGACAATAAAACTAATAAAATAAAGAGAAGTGAAAGTTCTAGTTTGCTTTTAAATCACATTCAAAGTTTTCGGTCGATCAGATTAATCGTTTATACGATAATAATAATAAAACGAAAACTGAAAAAATTTGTCCTCTGTAGTTAATTTCAACGATAAACGAATATACAACATATGAACATGCCAATAATGCGCTAAAACTAGTGCAGTTTGATATTATTTCGGTTATTTTAACTTGTTACTAATATGAAAATTTTGCTCAGGGTTTACTTCCATCAGTTATGACACAATAAAATTTTATACAATTGCTAACACTGTACCGGAATTCATTTTCGTTTGAAAATTACTCATCAGTGATGTTATGATCACCTAGGTTTAAATATAACTCGACTGCCAAGCACAGTTTTGTCAAAAATATTGTTCATCTAATAACAAATTAATTGCATGAAAGTACATATGTACGTATATATATGTGAATAATTTATATGCTTTTCAATACATGATATGATACGTATTACATTCTGATACGTATTGTTACAAAAAAACAGGTGAATTGACGCAATCCTATATTAGTTACCTTGTTTCTGTTAGTTAAATAATACAAAATCGCGTCAATCGCCGTGTTTTAATATTATACTTTTTATGGTATGACTTCACACTGGAATTGTTGAGTATTTCACGAATGTCAAAAGTTATACTTGTGAACATGAAATTCGAATGTCCACATTAATATTCGTCAGAATTGAAATTGTCAAATTTCTAACTGGAATAGTTGATACAGATGTATATAGCCACCGGAATTTTTTTAACGCCTTTATTTGTGATTTTTCATAATATTTCAATCATGGCAAATAGAATATTGCATCTTTGGTCTTGATAAATTACAAATGTATTAGACTGTTTCAAAATGTCGCTTTTTAAAATAACAACCTCCTATTATTATCTATTGTATTGGTATTATTTACAAATTACTCGTCCAAAAAGTTTTACAAAACCTGCACCTAGAGTATTTTATAACTAATTTTTACATTGTAAAATTTAAAATTAAGAACAACTTCCTTTAATCTAAAAAAATAAATTGCTTCAACAAATGCTAACTCTCATTCAACGCGAAATTTTAGGTAAAAGTTACATAAATTAATAAAAAAAAACATTCAAAGATAACATAAAAGCAACAATACCATAAAATACTAGTCCATATGAAAATTACATTTACATTACAACCCACACCCTATTCCCACGAGAGAGACAAGATTGCTTCAATCTACAGCACTGACAAAACAAAAAGCCTGTAAAAATAATGTGCTACAACATACATTAACGTATATTAAAAGAAACATTAGTAAATTTTATTAGCAAAAACGTTACAGAGAGTAATACGCAGTAAAATTTTATTAGCATCATACAGCGTCTGTGAGGTATAATATCCGTAAAAGTTCAGGCGATTTTTGCGTTCAGGCTTCAGTGTGGTCTCATCTTCGGAAGCGTTGTGACGTTTGATAAACGCCTCCGTAAAGTTACGTTACTCATATTTAGATAAAGCTTTGAAGTGAATTTTATATATAATAAAAAACTTCACTACTGTAACTCAATAAAGTGTTATGTTTGAACTTTTTATGACTTCGAAGTGACTTGTAAGTATTGTAATTTATTTTATTAGTCATCAACACTCTTTATTAAAGCATGTCATTAATTCATGAAATAAGTATTAAAAATTTATAGAAGTGAACGTTTTAAAACTACATAAGAAATTCAAAGTAAAAAAATATTTGATTTTTTTTAAACCAAACCAATAAAAAAAAATAAACATAAAAATACAACTATGTATATATTTTTTTGCAAGATGATTAGATGAATTAAAATGGTATTTTTCAAACAGATTTATAATTAGTAACAATTTTTTTTAAATTAGTACCTATTAAAACAATATTATAAAGTATATTCAAGAATAATTAAAATAATCTATTCTTTTTTCACTACCCGATTCGGTATTTTTAAAACTTGTTTTCCTATCTTTTATTTTATTTATCCCAAATAAACGTAACTGACACTTATAATAAATTAACTCTTAGTTTTTACCTTCTCGATATCTTATTTGATTCGGACTGTATAAATAGCTGTTTAGGGATTGAATCTTCCCACAGCCTTGATCCCATACCCTTGAAGATATTTTGGTATATCACAATTATGCTATAAAGGCCCGGTCGAATAAAAATTCGTGAAATATTATATAACATAATATTAACTTACGACGGCAAATATATTAACATCTGATTCATATAATAATAAGTGTTATGATACTTTACTTCTTTCATGCAGAATAATACTAATTTCTATTTATAATCCTGACAGCTCAGGTTATGCATTTCTGACAGGTCGTGATAGAGCGGACCATGTAAATGAGGAATGGCGTACAATTTATTGCAGACTTTTAAATATATTTCAATAAATTTATTATAGAATTGGCATTACAAATCTTAAAATTATGCCAACTAACATAAAACGGTTTAACTGTGGTCTAAAATTACTAACAGTTTAATAATAAACAAATATGAAAAAGTCGTTTTTAAAATTCAACTGCACTGTTTCTGGGTTATGTCGAGTGTTGGTTTTTGTAGTGTTATTACAAAATAATCGTACAATCGTATGTAAATATATTTTGATTTTAATGTAACCTTTTAACCTTATGTTATGTCGAATGGAACCTTATTATTTTATAATATGTTTTTAAGAAAATGTATGAAAAAGTATTGTGATAGATATTTTAAATTAATGATGCTTGAAATATAATAACCTTAAAAATAACAAAACATTAATTAAAATGAAAAGATATGAATAGTGATGAAATAAATTACACTCTAAACATTTTTTAACGTTAAACGTTTTTCATTGCAAATCAATTGTTGTAGTTGTTTAACAATTGTCAGATTTTTTTTATAGTTTCTGATAAATATTATTTCATTTATCAACTTTATAATTTATTCATATTATTTTAAATATTTTTCTATTGTAAAATTCCAAAGAGAGCCGAAAGTAGATTTTGACAAGGTATTCAATGTAACAATACACCATTTTCTTTTATAAAATTGTCTAATAAAAGTGAAAATGTTGAAAGACCCTAAGCTGAAATATGCTTTAATATTTTAGTCTTATAAGAATAGGAAATATGCAAAGTTATTAGTAAAATAAAACAGGAAGAGTTATGAAACGATACTATTTATGAAACGACGAATTCCTAAAAGGTTACTTTTTTTATTTAGAAACCTCTAAATTCAAATAAAAATCTTCAGTGAATACAAATTTTAGATACGGAATTTTTGGCATCAAATATAATTCGAATTCTTTTGTTCAAATATCTGTTTATTAACAGTCTCTGTAGGGGAGGAATTTTTAAATGTATAATTAACACTCTTATTTTTCTTTATCTTTTACTCGGAACAGTAGACATAAAAATTCCGTTTCCAAACAAACAAATATAATTTATTTTGTGATTATAGAATTTCTAACCAAACGGGTATTGCCACAGATATTTTATTATTTATAAAAAATAAATTTGTAGTCAATCAAAAAGTTTAATTTATTTATTGTATCATAGCAATATTTACATTAATTTTGAATTCATAACGTACGCATAAAAAAATCCCCCTTTTTTAAAAGAGTCCAATGCAAATACTTATCTTTGTAACACCTTACACATATATATTCATCTGACCCATACACAAGAACAATTGCAAAATTCTCGTTTAATTCCTAGGCTATTAATTTCTTTTGTAGCTTAAAACATTTCCTCTTGGGTAGCTGTTGGAAGTGTTATTGATATTGTCTGCTATTGAATAATATCTACCAATCAAATA